AGTCTTTTTCTAGGAAACATTTTCTTACCGTTAATTAGCTTCACTCAGTTGTTACATTTAAACTAAACATTGCACATACTGAAAGGATTAGCAGAAAAGAAGGACCCAATTCTGCATTTTCAAAACAGGCTAAACTGCAAAACGTCACTGCTTTAGATAAATAACGGTAGGTCTTTGTTAGCTTGATGTAAACTCTTCACACCTCCCAGGCAACGTTATGGCGTTTTTTTTTACCTTGACCTGGTAAACTCGGTCGCTGTCCCTGTACAAAATGTGGGATGAGCACTCGAAGGGCAGCGGTTTCAGGATGTTTCTGTCCCACACAGGGTAAATGATATTTTAATATTGTCGATTCACCCGCAATAACTATTTGATATCCCTCCACTACTGTGCCGACGGAAATTCGCAGCTAAAAACAAGTACGTTTATTAACAAAAACATACAGCGGGCTACCTTGCGTTCCTTACGTAGCGTCTAACTTGTCAACCAATCAGTACACTCATTGTTAATTTTCCCGCTGTGTTGTCATTTTCCGCCCTGGGGCAGATTGGGTAGACTAGGAGCACTAAAAATTAGTATGTCCACAATATGTCTAGATAGGTCAGATCAAGATACGTTAAGTAACGCTGAATAGCTCGTAATATTGCTGTGCTACTGGGCCAGAGCTGTTGTTTGTCAGCGTGGCCGTGAGAGTTAGTGGCCTGAAAGCGCGCATTTCATTCGAATGAAGGCCATAGTGAGAAAGTGCATCAGAATCCGGTGACTAGCCTATTCACCGTTTAAAATGCTGGTTAATGGAGGATTTCAATTTGCGTGAATCATTTATATAGCGTTAGATGTTTGGCCAGATATAATACCGCGGTTTAGAGGATACCTAGCTAAGTAGTGTATATCAGCTATATCAGCGTCACTAACGAGCATCATTTTTCTAGCCTGGGAACAAGCTGTCTAGCTAGCTACCTAACAGGCAGACTTTCTTAACATGATGAGTGTGAATTGCGACGGCTAATTTCTTGTAGACCAGCGGACACTACATCCCTAGTTTTGTGCGAGCATACCTTTATTTTGGGGCACAATTTTTATTCTTGAAAGCGCCAATGGGTCGTGTTGATGACCTTTAATGTCCACAATCTGTAAAGTGTTGATGTTCGATAGGGAGGTAATTTTGACGTATTATGTTTTGTGTGAAATTTCACAGCTCTGTATGGATTTGAGGAGATGTGTCAGAAGAAACCCTAAAAAACCCTCCTGGGCAGCGTTTCTGCCGGGGAGCTGCTGGGTGCGTGGTTGGGCAGTCTTCTATAACCAAGGTGGGTCCAAACTGCAACCATTGCTAACTATGCATGTAATACATACGGAAATTAATGAGCAAATCCAAACCAAGACTCTAAAGAGGGGTTTTCACTAAGTTATACCAGGTATACATATATACAAGCTATCTTGTACCTTGTTTGGTCAACCATTGAAACCTGGTCATGCAGCACTTCTAGTATTGTTGACTCCTCATGGTTTTTTGCTTGTGTTGTATCCTACTCTGCCTCACTTTTAAGTCGCTTTGGAAAAAAAAACGTCTGAGAGCTCAAAAAGACATGAATACGTCGCTCAAAGATTACTAATTAGCAACAGAATTGCGGGCCATCGTGACGTTTCGAGCGCCGTATTGATCATCGCGTGCTGCTGGGGCTGCGCTGCAGCTGACGTCAGGTTAACGCGCGCGGAAGAGCGTGCTCTACTGTCATCACGTGCTCGGCTGCAGCGTTGCTGCCTCGCTGCCGCCGTACGGGAGTACGGCTGCTGCTGTCGGAATATACGCTTACTGTTTCTACACTACAGCATTAAATAAAACGAAAATAGCCCGAAACGGGACGTGTTAGAAGATACAAATATACGTTTTTGTCGTGTCACAAGTTGTTTTGAATGTGCGTCTTTGGCATTCAACGAAAAGAACCAAAAACTGGTGAATGTTAGAACATACCTTTTTGTCACAATTCTGTCATCAAATGGTTTCTTTATTGCACTAATGTTAGCGCTGTGAAAGAAGTGCTGTTATGTTGTAGCTGCTGCTAATCCACATGGTCAACTGGCTCATCGTTTTTCGGTTTCATCAGGTCACTTAACATGATTGCGTGCAACTATAAAACTGCTGTTACTTGCACGATTACCCGAGCTGTTTGTGGAATGCATTTATTTTAACAAAAGGCTACTTGTTCTCTTGCCAGTATAGATAATAGACTAGTCTAGCTGTGATAGGAGACTAATTTATTGACATTTCAACAGTATTCAATTGAATCTGAAACAAACTAAAATGAAATGTAACAGGTTGTTAATCACAACGGACGGTAAGGGGGAGACAGTCCTGTTGCAGAGACAGATGGTGCAAGTGCTACAGGACTGGGTGATAACAGAATAGGTGGTTAAGTGAGGTAGTGTTGGAGCTGAATGGTATGTTCTCTGAAGAAAAGAGACGCCCAACGTGGGGCTCGAACCCACGACCCTGAGATTAAGAGTCTCATGCTCTACCGACTGAGCTAGCCGGGCTTGCTATTGAGCGCTTCGTGCCTCTTGTTTTGAGTCACTGCCCCATCCCCCAGCCCCTCCCTTGGAGGACAGGCCCTGGGTCATTGTGATCAAAACCTCGTCTCTTAGCGAGTTGTCTGTGCCAGTCTCTGTGGCGCAATCGGTTAGCGCGTTCGGCTGTTAACCGAAAGGTTGGTGGTTCGAGCCCACCCAGGGACGCAGCTTTTATTTACTTAAATACATAATTTATTAAGGTTTACGAAATAGACAGGCAAGCACTCACAGGCAAATGCGTAACTGTGTGGGGTGTTTCATGTAATTAGACTCTACTCAACAAGCAGAATGTAGCTGTGTGTGAGTTCACCAGTCAAGCTTCATTTTTTACAATTTTATAAAATACAGACAGCAGGCCTTCTCAGCAGCCTTTACTCACTTTTCTGCTGACATCATGCCCCAATGAAACGTGACAGAAGTGTACAATACAGCTCCCCACCCCCCAACAGGGAAAGGAAGGGGAATTTCTTGAGGCACACCCTGCTGTGTTCTGTTGTGTCATTTCACAGAACAGGCTGTGTGAACCACTCAGCATCTTCCTTAAATATTACATTATATTACATCATTTAGCAGACGCTCTTACCCAGAGCGACTTCCAAATAAGTGCATCACTTTGCTAAGAGTAGTTATAGATAAGTACCATATGTAACTCAGAAAGATACTGAGTTAAGTGCTAAACTAGTTTAGGCTGCTTTTTTTTTTTTTTTTGAAAATAGGGATAGATGGATAGAGAGGAAGGTAGGCAGGCTGGAGATGCAGCTTGAAGAGATGAGTTTTTTAGCTTTCTCTTTTTCTCTTGAAGGCACCCAGGGAGTCTGTTGTACAAATCTCAGCAGGAAGCTGACTCCACCAGTGTGGAGCCAGCGCTGGGAAGGGCCCCGTCTGAGAGATGCTGCCCTTGTGTTTTGATCATGTGCTGTATGGATCAGGGGGCTGATTAAAGGTTAGTAACATGGTCTTGAACTTGATCCTTGCTGCAACCCGAAGGCAGTGGAGGGACCCAAAGAGAGGCTTCACATGGGCCTGCTTGGGGAGGTTGAATGTCAGTCAGCCTGCTGCGCTCTGGATAAGCTGCGGTGGTCGGATGGCATTTGCTGGGAGGCCGGCAAGCAGCGAGCTGCAGTAGTCCAGATGTGACAGGATAAGAGCCTGGATCACAACTCGGGCTGCGTATTTGGAGAAGCATGGTCTGATCTTCCTAATGTTGACCAAAAGAAGTCTGCAGATCCTGGTTGTGGCTGAAATATGCTCCTTGAAAGCCAGATTGCTGTCCAAGGTTACCCCTGGGTTTTTGGCAGCTGTGGCTGCCATTACCTTTGCATTATCAATGCAGATTGAGAGGTTCCTCTGGTTCCTCTGGTTCCTCTGGTTCCTCTGAAATGAACAGCTATGTATCATCTACATATGAATGATATGACAGGCCATGTGCAGTTATGACGTCTCAATGTCTCTCCCTTAGGACTGGGAATTCCCCTGGAAGGCCGAGGGGAAACTTAAGTGAAAACAGAAAGTGAAAGAATTGAAGTGCAGTTCAATTCACCAACACAGAGAGGAAAAAAAAAAAAGTTACCAAGCGTCCAGATTTTTATTGACTAGATGGCCGAGGTTGAAGGGGAGACGTTTGGGGGTGTTTCTTACTGTAAATGGGGTAATTTGAAGAAGCAGGCAGCAGCATATCTTCGCAGCAGATCTACTGTTTTTCTTTTCTCTGTGTGCATGTTCTTTCCCTAGAACAAGTACATCACCATCCAGTTTAAGCTTCCCCTGTTTACAGGTTACATGTATTCATTGGACAGACATACTTACCCAGATTAACTTACAAAGCAGGGTACATAAATGCATTAAATAGGTTCACATGAACAAAAGTAAGAATACATATGCCCGCATCTGAACAGAAGTCTGCCTACAGTACCGTGGCAAAAATCAGAATAAAGACTTTATATGAAAACAACAGTGTCATAACTACAGTATCAATAAATAAATTGTTGCTCCAGTACCTTTAAAGAGTGCTACAGTTTATTTTGTTAGGGGAACAGTATGAAGAGGTGGGTCCTCAGTCTGGGGTGGCATGATCAGTTGTCTAAAGTTAGTCATAAAGTTGATTGTGATGTAAATTTTTCTCAAATGTTTTGTCCAACTGTATCATTGCAAAACATATGTAAACCACTAAGACAAAACTTTGTGTGCCTGTGGATTCTATTCTGTTCTAAACAATCTAATTTTGAAAAGACACAGTTGATTACACAAGAGTTCAAGAAGGAGTACACAAGGCAGCCTGGTTTTAGCAAACAAAGTACAATTTCAAGTGTTTCATGTTTAGCTGGTCAGTGATCTCAGAGGGAAGCAGGGTCGGTTAAGTGAAAACATTTAAAGTTGAAAAAATACAAAGTCATTTTGAGGTGAGGTCCAGTGAGGTCCATCTGGGTAGA